CCCGCGTCTTTCGGCCCTGGGCAGGCTCCTGTGAGCTGCCAGACTGGGAAGAGTCAGAGGGCTGGGTGGCAGTGGGTGGCTGGCTTTTGCCGTGCCAGGTGCAGGGTCTGCTGGCTGGGTGCTGGCAGGCTTGCACCTGGCACGGGCACCGTAGCCAGACCGCGTGCCCCTTTAAGGGCTCTTGGGGCCAGGAGGGGGGCAGAAGAGTTTCCCTGGTGGTGCCCAGAGTGGCCACCAGGGCAAGCTGGGGAGGGCTAGTCTCCCACTACTTCTAATTAAGTGGCTACACAGCCCTTAATTCGAACTCCTTAATTAGAACTAGACATTAGTCCTCGTAGAATGAGGTTTACCTAGTTCCAATTAAGTGTTCCACTAGTTCGAAATAAGTTCGAACTAGGGATTTGCCTGTTAAAGTGAATTCGAACTAACGTGTTAGTTCGAATTAACTTTGTAGTGTAGACATACCCTTAGAGACTAACAAAAAACTGCTCTTAAACTTGTAAATGGTCTTGAAAAGTTGGTGAACAGTGACCAATCCAAAGATGACTGCAAAAAATTTACAAAGCGATCTCACAAAACAAGGTGATTGGGCAACACAAAGCAGAAAGAATTCAGTGTTAATAAGTGTAAAGTAGTGCATGTGGAAATATAAAATCCAAACCGTAGATACAAAAATTATGGTGCCTAAAATAGTTGTTACCACTCAAGAAAGAGATACTGGAATCCTTGTGGATAGTCCCTGAAAACATCTGCTCAATGTACAGTGGCAGTCTAAAAACCTAACAGGATATTGGGAAAGGAATAGATAAGAATGGCCATAGTGGGTCAGACCAAAGGTCCATCTAGCACAGTATCCTGTCTTCCAACACTGACCAATGCCAGGTGGCCTGTGACAGAGGCTAGGGATACCATTCCTACCCATCCTGGCTAATAGCCACTGATAAACTTAACCTCCATGAATTAATCTAGCTCTTTTAAAAATCCTGTTAAAGTACTAGTTATGAAGACAACATCTTCTGGCAAGATAATAAGACAAGATACCACAGTGCCTCTAATGTCATTGTATGCCCACTTTTTGAATACTGTATGCGGAGATGGACATCCCATCTAAAAAAGATATATTGGATTTGGAAAAGGTGCAGAAAGGACAACAGAAATTTAGGGGGTAAATTTCACATGAGGAGAGATTAACAAGACTGTGATTTTTCAGGTTGGAAAAGAAATGACTAAAGAATGGGTATGTTTGATGTTTTGAAAATGATGAATGGTGTGGAAAAATAGAATAAGGAAATGTTACTCACTCTTTCACTAACATAACACAAGAAGCCAACCCAATTACATGTATAGGCAGCAGATTTCAAACAAACAAAATACATTTTTTTCCCCACAATCAACTTGTGGAACTCTTTGCTGGGAGATGGTGGAAAAGCCCAAACGATAACAGGAAAGATGCAAAATAAGAGCAAAATAAGTTCAAGGAAGATGGGTTCATCAATGGCTACGAGCAAGAATGGGCATGGATGGTGTCCCTAGCTTCTGTTTCCCAGAAACAGGGAAGGGGCAGTGAGATAGATCTTAATGATTGCCTCTGTTTATTCATCCTGAAGCACCTGGCATTGGCCACTGTTGGAAGACAGGATAATGTGCTAGATAGACCTTTGGTCTGACCCAGTATGGCCATTCTTATGTTCTTACAAGGTGGGAAAACAACAAAGAACAACTAAATTGATTTTTTTTAGGGGGAGAGTAGAAATTTTTTTGATTGTTTTGACAAACGAGAAAGGGTTCGAAAACTTGAAAAACTGGGGAAATTTAATTTTTTATGCTAATTTAGGTCAAGAAAGGATGACTGAAGGTGAGCTCCATCTGCTGCCTAGGATGGTAGTACAGGAACTGAGGTGCTACGTGTGTACCTAATGGACACCAATTGCATTAGAAGACACTACTGTGCATATGTGGTGTGGCAAGACACTGCTAAAAAAATGTCCAGTTGCTGGCCCAAGAACGTACTAGCACCCAAAGTGGAGCACCCATGGACTCGAAGAAGAATGGTTACTTACCTTTGTAATTGTTTTTCAAGGTCTGAGGCTCATGTCCATTCCAGACCCATCTGCCTTCCCTCTATCAGACTGTTGCATACCACCAGGGAAAAGTCTTCTGATGGTTTTGCACGCAGCACACACATACATATTGGACTGGACATGAGCAACACATGTTGAAGAACAGCAATTACAGAGGTAAGAAATCATTCTTTTTCTCAGTCTATAAATGTTAGGATGCTTCACCTTAACTTTTTGTCCAGTGAAAGGGGCAAAGGAAAGACCTACTGTTGACTGAGCTGAGTCCATTGGGACTGGCATATGTATGCAAGCATGAACAATAAACATTGTCTCCAAGGTGCATCAGTGGTCTTTCGGAGTAGTGATACTGAGGACTGCTGGACCAGCTATCTTCATAGAACTGGGCCAACACATGGAGAGAATACATAAATACCAACTGATAACATCATAAATTGCCCGATGCTGATGAGAAACGTAGGTGGGATAGAGCGGAGGTTCTCAGCCCATGGCCAGTGGGCTGCTTGTGGCTCAATCAGCATGAAACTGCAGAACCCGTGATAATCTCAGGGCCATACAGATAGTAAATATTTTGTGTGGATGCAGTCTACATAACACAGAGTGCTACCTATGCAGTCCACCTTGGTTAATAGGTTGAGAAATTCTGGAGTAGAGGGAGGACAGACCAAGGATGAAGATTTGGGGGTCTATAATGCTGAAGGTACTATTATGAGGGCCTGATATATAGGCAGATTGTATTAAGGGCTGCCATGAAGCCGAACGGATCAATAACAGAGAAAAATTGGTATTTTATGAATGTATGTGTTTGGGATATGTTTTGCATCTCTACATTTCAAAATCAGTTCTTGTGCTTGAGAATACCTGTTTGTTGGTGTGATTTGTGACACTTCCAGCAATTAAGCTCTCTCAAGGAAGGATGCTAGGTGCATTAGCTATTAAATATTCTTTCCCTCTTCACTTTTTTCGTGTAGATCTTTGTTATATGACAGTTATAATTGCATCACAAGGCTATGTAATGTGTTTAGCAGAGCTGGGCTGAATATTGAAAAATGTTCATGAATGTATTTAAACCGAACCCATTAATTCATCAATGGCTACATAGAGAACAAACGTAAAAATTATTTTTTGATTAAATCAATACCTCTACGTCAACATTAGGAGAACTTTCTCTTGGATCATAATCGTATAGTGCCACCATCCTCCGTGTTGACACAGAATGCTGTCTGCCACTCCGTCTGTTCCTTTCTGTTCCAACCATAAGGAGGAAAAAGGGAGGAAAGCTATCAAAGTTACTTCAAAGAATAAAAACAGCACTGGTGTAATTTTCTCCCCCCCTGTTGTTATTTTCTCAAAAGAGTCGTAACCAACTCAGACAATTTCTCTAGCAGCTGGACAAGTGACCAAAGAAAAATACCAAAATCTATTAATGTAGTCATGAATTCCTGATGCAAGCTGGACATCAAGTCCAAACCAATTTTAATTCTCAACAGCTAGGTTGATCCTAATGTTTCTAAATAATTCCATTGATATATTGAAAGCTACTATTTATGCCTTTTTAAAAATCTTTTTGGTTAGAAGAATCATCACGTGCTACTATCCAGACTTTTGGATAGTATATTATCACCATTCTATCCTGTTTCACTTCAGTCAGACTGTCACTTTTACTCACTGGTCTTTTTTTCCTGCATAAAACCACCAGGAATTTTGTGCCTGATATTATTCTTCCCTTTCTTGGTAGGGTACTTGGACAAGAAACAACTGTTTTCATGTGATCCAAATGAGCGATTTATCAATTCTTTAAATGAATCTAAATGTTTCCATTAGTTTTGTGGTTACAAACAAATAAATAAATAAATAAATAAAAAGCACTTTCAAGTATTCCGTGAGTTTAAAGCTTTCCTTAGCAGGAGGTGAAATTTAGTGCTTCCAGAAATTGTTGACTGACATTAAACATTTACAGGGAAATCTATGATGGGCTTAATTTTAAAACTGAAAAAGAGCAGCATAATTCTTGCAGATGATGCCACATCAAGAGAAACATGCTAGTTAGTTTTACTTACAACAGGCATTGAGGGCCGATGAGGTAGAGAATAGCATTATGAAGTGCAATAAAGTAAAATGGATTAGGAGCAGCGTTAGAACTCTTGCTCCAAAGTGCTAGGAGCATTGTAGGGTAGTGTAAGGTAACAGAGGACTAGTGTCATCAGTGGAGAAATATGCAGCATGCTTTCACACCTAATAGCTGGGAAGGAAGCATTCAGTCAGAGGAGACTGCAGCACACACCCATACTGAGAACATCAGCAATCTCATCTGCTGATGCAAGGAAGGATTTATAGTGAGTGCAAGGAGAAGTTCAGAGGGAAGGAATAGATTTTACAGAGTTAGGATCCAATTCCTCATTGGATTGGACCAACTCAATGTCTGCCTTGTATGGGTCCCTTTTAACATACTACTCTGCTGGGATAAAGGCAGGCCGTTCTTTTAGTACTAGGGGCCTCTCTGCTTCTAAAAGATCAAAACATATAAAGTAAATCTAGACAGCTCAAAGCAATTCAACTAATTTACAGCTTCAATCAAGTTATTGTTTTTTAGCACAGACCTCGTTTAGACTTTCTGGATCTGCGGTGTACAGAGCGTGTGCTCTCTTTGAAACGGTCACAGTTGACTTCAGGAAAGGAATGCATACAAATAAAAGAAGAGGAAAAGATATGAAGCTGTTCAAAGTTCTTAATTTTTAAGGATTTAATGTGGGCAAAGGATTAAGCAAAATTAGTCATAGCTGAACACAGCATGTTAGTTGTTTGATTTTACATTCAGACTAAATCATATGTGATAATAGCATAAAACAGACTGGAGATTTAGGGCCTGATCCTACTAGCAGTCTCCACATGGGCAGACTGTGTGACAGGAGGAATCTGAAAATGTGGATCTGTTTGCACATTCAAGCACTTTGTGTTTACTTAATTCAAAATTAAGCCAAACTCTCCATGTTTCCCAAACTCTAGGAATCTATGTTCATTTCCTTTAAAAGGTGGCAAGAAAACGTAATCCAGATTTAAAACAAAAGCCACTTTTAAAGTGTCAAAATATTTAAAGGTGAACTGTCAGGCACAAAGTAAGGAGGGGGTTACCTGCAATTAGACCTCTCCAGAAGATTGTAGACTAAGGACAGTATGCTAATAAATACAGTGGCATTTTAATACAAGGGCAGTTTTTCTCCTCCTGGAAAATTCTGAGATGCCAACTTCTTCTTTTCTCTGCCACAGTGAGTGGCATCACCAGTAGCACATAAAGATGTTAATGGTGCTTGCAGAAATAGCTTGCAGGATCAGATCCTTCAAATGGCTACAGTCTGCGGAGCTAAAATTATGCTCCTAAAGTTGTATTGGTCCTAAATAAATTATCACATTTTCAAAGTGTGTTAGCACACACAATTCTCTCTGTCTTTGACATAATTTATACATTTTTGTTAGTCTCCAAGGTGCCACAGGACTACTCATATTTTAAAAAGTTTTTGACAGGAGGTGAGAGTGCTCAGCACTTTTGAAAATCAGGTCACGTTGAGATAAGTGTTTAAGTGGATTTTGGGGTAAAAAGATCTCAGAAGTGCTAAGATATGTCTGAACAGAAAAAAAAGCCATTAAGCCTTAGAGCCGCAGTCAAATCATTCAGCCTTATGGAGTTCACATTATGGGTCTAAAAATGGCAGTGTAAATGTCCCATGCTCTGAGACTGAGCTCCCTCACTGAGATTTCAAAGCCCATGTTGTAGCCCACGTGGGAACATTTTCACTGCTCTTTTTAACTCCATAGCCTAAGCTAAAGTCAGTTGACCCTGGCTCTGAGACTTGCTACCACATTTTTGGTTTGGGTTTGTTAGAGTTTGTTTTAACTGCAATAAGCCCTGATCTACACTAGGAAGATATTTTGAAATAACTCCCCTTATTTTCAAATAACAAGCGCAGTGTCCACACTCTCAAATACGTTATTTCGAAATAACTGCTGCTCTCTGCAAGTAATAACGCTTATTTTGGAATAGTTATTTTAAAATAGCATTCGTATAGATCCTCCACTGCTGCTATTTCAAGATAACTACTCCCCAGAGTCATTCAAAATAATTACTCTCCAGTTCTTCCTAGAGTTCTAAGTTGAGATAGCACGTCCACATTAAGGGAGCCTGCCTCAGACTAATTTTGAGGCTTCCCTGTAGTGTGGACACACTGTTTTGAAATAGTTATTTTGGGATTTATTTCAAATAACTTATTTTGACATAATTTCCTAATGTAGACTTGCTCAAAGAGATTAAAAACTTGTCTATGCTTAAAACAGAGCTGCAGCACTGTAGTGCTTCAGTGAAGACACCACTTTCATCAAGAGCAGTGCTTTTCCCATCAATGTCAGTTCTCCAACTCCCTGATAGGCAGTAGGTAGGTCAACACACAAATTCTGCTGTTGACCTTACGGTGTCTACATTGGGGGTTAGGACACTAACTGCATTGCTCAATTGTGTGGGTTTTACTACAGCAATGTAGTTATACAAACCTAACTATCTAGGGTAGACCAGGTTCTGGAAATCCTAAACTCCAGATTTTTCATATATATTTAAGTGCGTAAAAATGCAAAGAAGCACCTAGTGAGAATCAAGTACTCCAGGGGGAACATTAACTGCAAGGAAGTGAAATGCCTAATCCAGGTGCTTTTGTAAAACTCACCAGAGGTGCCTATTTGCATCTTTGAGTATCAGACAGGTAGCCACGTTAGTCTATTTGCATCTTTAATGTCATAAATTCCTGTGAAAATCTGGCTTTTAGGAGTCTAGGTCTTAGTCAATGACTCCAAATTCACTTAGGCGCTTTTGAAAATGTTACTTAGGTACCTTTAGGTACTCAGGTCTAAAATTTTTACCCATGGTTCTTTCACATTGTTTGTTACATGTTTTAAGTTCTTTTGTTCTGGCACACAAATGGGGAAACATTGAGCAGAGAATTCCTGGGATCTTAAAGAGCCTATAGTGTTTCACTTTATGACTAACACTTATTGTCTTATGACTAACACTTATTGTCTTACCATTAGGGGTTTTTATTTTCATTTTATAATCTTGCAAAATAATTTTGGAGAGATTTTTTTTTTGTTCAAATGAATGTTTTGTTTTTAATGCAGCCATGTTTACAGTTCACTTTTAAAGAACATTGAACAAATGTTAGCAGTTTACAGTCTTTGTTTTGTTTCTCCATTGAAAGATTTAAACTTTGTTGATGGCTTTCCCTCTCAAAATATATTTGTATATAACTACAATATGGCTCTGTACAAAATTGAACCATGGATTTAAGACAACTGGTCCAAAACAGAGGCAATGTTGGTTTGTGATATCAGTATATCCTTTACACTTTTTGACTTATACAATGTTCACTTGAATATTGTGAGGCATAACCCTTTGCCACGAACCCTTTAAATTTATGATAAGTTAGGTTCAAGAAGAAGAGTAAAAAGAACAACAAATAAGTGATTCTTTTTATGCTTTCTAGCTGTGAGCAAAACATTTTATCAAATACAGTATCTCAGCACTGCATGTGCCAAAAGCAGAGGGATCTTGTTCTGTGTCTAGAAAGCTTTCAGAAAAATCAGTGTTTTTAAAAAAATAATAATATGTGCAGTACTGAAATGCAAGTCCTTATTTGTGGCATCAATAGTAAAAATGCTTAAATATTCTGATTTTTTTAAAAAATGTAATCAAGATGCTGACACAGAATGTATCCCATAGTGCAGTAGACTGCTGTAAAATTTAGATGCATGT